CCCCGTATAGGAAACCAAACGGTCCTAACCTATAGTTGACGGACACAACCACCACATCCTTTGTGGCCAAAGCGGTCCCATTGTATATCTCCATGAAAATTGACCCACTATTAAGTCCGCCGCCGTATATCCAAAACATCACTGGCTTTAATGCTGTGGTATTTGTTGTCCATATGTTAAGCACCAGACAGTCTTCACTCATACCTGCGCCCGGAGCGATAGGGAAAATACCTTCTCGTTGTATGCATGAGTTTTTTGGTTTTGTTGCATCGATTATATCCTAAAATTATATTCAATTTTTTAATTGATTTAGTTTTATTAATTAACAAACTTATAATTGATAACATAATTTTATCTCAATGATTTGTAGAGTACAGTACTTACAGGGAATGGCTTAGAAATAGGTTCGGGTTTTGCAAACCTAAGTTTGCCGACCGGGGGTTCGGCGTAAGGGATGCCCAAAAATTGGTCCACATTTGTGTCCAACACATGTAGTGTCCGACCCCTCACTACTCCTATACTGGTGTTCACATCAATACAATTTACATTGATTGATGTAAAATATAAAATAACAATAGTTACAAAGTTATAAAAATTTAACATTTTGCTTTATTATTTTGGCAAACTATATTAATCAATACTATTGATTCAATAGTATAATGATCAACATTATATACCCTTTAAAATTATCTGTAAATACTTTTTATCATACTTTAAGTGAAAGAATGTATTCTACACTTGTAGTAATAAAATGTCAAAAGTTACACTATAGAATCTATAGTATAGATCTAGTATGGGTAGCAATAAAAAAATGCATTAAAGTTCATATACAGTCAATGTATAAACAGTCATTTTTTAATTGAAATTTACACTCAGTGTAAATTTTACCCATACTAGGTATAGATTATATTTGTTATAATATTATAATTAATAATCCCTGGGTTATAGTACATTATTATAACCTAGATTTGATTAATAACTTATACTGTTTACACCTCAAAAATATTTATAAACTACTATGCTGTAACATTATTAATAAAAATTAGTTCAAAATTTCAATCAATACACTACAATGTACTAGTGTCAATGTTAGTACAATGAAATTATTATTTTTACAATTATCTATAACGAGTTAGTTTAGTACAAATGACTAGTATTAATGAATAACTATGTACAGTAATAAAACAATACAGTATACTGTACACTATAGCAGGTATTATGCCATTAATTTATATATTATTTGATTAGTGATAGAATTTATGATTTAAAATAGTTATAAATTGATACCTATTTGAAAGCAAATAACTAGTCATAAAAGCCCACATTTCCTACCGATGTGTGGATTGGTATAAATTTTTCAAAAGCAATAATAAAAAAACTTGTTAAACAGGTATTCATTAAACAATAAAAACACGTGTTTTGAAAGACAAGTGTATTGTCAGCCATATTGTCATGAATTGGATTTAGATTTATATTTTATTTTGAATTGCATTTCAATTTTGAAATCGTATTTATATTTTGTTTGTGAATAGTTTTATATCGTTTAAAAATGTGTTCAAAATTAATGAGTGTTTCGTTGATTGAAATGAAGAGTAAATTAAAT